AGAGCAGGACAAGAAAAAACTAAAAATGTTGCATTCACGGTGGGACTTTTGTCATTTTTGTTTTAAAAAGCATATACTCTTTGGTATCAGTCCAATAGTTAAGTCAGTCTTTTTGCAATGTTCATGGACTCTGTACATGAACAGTATATAGTACTTTCCACCCATAAGGCTGCAGATTCAATATGTTAGACTGAGTCTCCAGTAAAACACAGGGGATAGGACGCAGCAGAGCTTTGCCAGAATCAGAGAGCAAAAAGATTTTTGACAATCACAATAGAAAATAAAAGCTACATAAATAAATAATCTGAGCAGATTCAAAGTATCTTTATATAGTCCTATGTTGAGTGGAAGATAAATTTCATGTGCTGCAAAATGAGAGCAGATAGGCATAGATTATTGTCTGGGCTGCAAAGTGGAGGATTACGAGATGGCAGCAGTCATTCAAGTTCTGCATCCCCATACAGCATTAACTTTGTGAACTCTCAAGCTTCCTCTTTCCGTTATATTTTCAAGATGGACAGTGTTTAATATTTATTTGTTATGTATATGTAGGGGTGTGGATCTATACATATGTTGTATATAGTATGTTAGGTTTGTGTCATGTATATCAAAATTTACAAATCTATAGAAGTATTTCTATATCTCCAAGGAATATTAATTATTGTGATCTTTTGCACAGTCAGCCAGATGTTCAGACTGGATTTGGCATTTTTTTCTGCCTATCAAGTCCTTTCCAAGGACCTGGGATAGGCAGATGGGAATGTTTGATGGTTATAGATCTTGTTGCTGGATGTAAGCTGTTCTGAAAAAAGCTGCCTTTTGCAATTGACTGACGGTGAGTTTGTCAATGTCTCTTCATTGATGGATTGGTAGAAACATTTCTGATTAGATTAAAATTGAAGATTTTGCCTATAATTTGCAATTTGAGCTTCATATCTGCTAATCTTCTTGGCTGTAGCTGTTATTTATTGCTTTATTATTTCCAGTGCTTCTTTCAGCTTCCTTGTTTCTAAGTGGTATTTCTTGATTAGGTATTCTTTGGTCTTTTCTTTCCTTTCATCTGTTCTATCTTACTTGCATCTAATCTCAATTTGCTAATCTGATTTTCTAGCCTGGTCTTCCATTTTGGTTTTTTCTCTTCTTTGTTGATTTTGCATCCCAAGTATACAATTATAACTGCAGTTCTTTTATAGATTAGTTGGTTTGTTTCTTATAGTAAGCTGATGCGTATATTTGGTTTTACGCAATTAGCATCTTTTAATTCTTGTGCTAGCTGTTTCTTTGAAGAAGCTTCAGTGAGGGCAATCTTGTTCCGTGGTTTTTGTGCTGTTCTGGATGCTCAGTTATTCTTTGTTTCAGTTCTTCTATTTCTTCTTCTATTTCTTTAATTAGAGGGATTTGTTCTTTCTTAGACAGAGGAAAGGGTCCTGGTTCCAAATAAAACAATTCTATATTGTTTTATAGACCAAATCTATAACTCCCCCTCATTTGCCCTTATACTTTGAGTTATTTTTGGCAATACTTTGATTTCTATGGTCAGGGTAGACCTTTGCAATTCTTCCAATTCTGCTTCAATGAATATTCTACTTTAATCTGCTAGCTTCTGTTCTGTTGTTTCTGATTTGGGATATTGTTCTTTCCAGAACTGGTGCATTCATCTCAAATATCCTCTTCTTGTTGTTATTTCAGATCATTATTTCTTTGTTTTCAGTCATTGTAGATTTACAATGGATAAACACCTTTTCTTCCAGTAGTTCTGCAGCTGCTGGCCCCAGTTGCTGAGCCAATAGTCCTGAGTTCTGTAGCCTATTTTTCATTTGTCCAGAAACTACAACTCCTGGCACAGTCCTTGTTGACTCAGGTGATGAGTTTCTGTAATTTACATCTTACCATATTTTTTATGGGAGAGACACCCTTTGACTTCTAATGAGACCTATCCAGAATGGTTGAACTCTGGCATAGCTCTCATCTTCCTCAGAGCACACAAGCTCCACAATCATGCCAAGGTAGTGCCTCACTTGGGGTCAAGGTATTATTATTATTATTATTATTATTATTATTATTATTATTATTATTATTATTATTATTATTATTATTATTATTATTATTATTATTATTATTATTATTATTATTTCTTGCCTTACTATATAAAATATTTTATATAAAACTCAAGGTAGTAAACATATCTAATGCTCCTGCCTCCTATTTTCCCCACAACAAAAATCCTGCAAGTTGGGTTGGGCTGAATAGAGTGATTAGACCAATAACATCCAGCCAGATTTCATGCTTAAGGAAGGCGAGAACTAAGTCTTGTGGTTTCAAGATCAACACTTAATCACAACATCAAACTAGTTCTCAGGAATGTTCTCTCTGGCATATTAAGTTACAGTGAATATGATTTTTTAAAAAAACCTTTTTATCATATCATTTAAATGTTGAAGTATTAAAATGCAGTATAACCTAATCTTGGTAATGGAAGAGTGCATTAAAACAAAAATTAGTGAATATTCATTCAATGAATATACATAGCGATGTCCTTGGGGGTACAAGAAAGATTCTGAGTACTATTTTCTATATTATGAAAGGAGACATGATTGCTGAGAATTTATTATTGTTCAGATTGTTCTTAGAACATCTTCATTTTTTCTCTCTTTTTTCCCCAGAGGGTATGAACTGCATGAACAAAGATCATGGGTGTGAACATATCTGCCGGGAGACACCCAAAGGTGGGGTTGCCTGTGAATGTAGACCTGGCTTTGAACTTGCCAAAAACCAGAAGGATTGCAAATGTAGGTAGATGTATGCAAAATTTCAATTGTCCAATATGCTTTATTTTCTATAGTGCTGTTATTATTTAAAATCGGGAAAGCAGTTTGATTTCATTGACTAGAGCTTTTTTGCTGAAGGGTTTTTTTTTCTGTAAGAAGCAATAGAAATTGAATCATTTAGTAGGTTTAACAGATTAATTTTCCAACTGTTGCTATGAAGTTAAAATGGTAGTTGAAAATTATGATACCCAACCCTAGATAATCTTCTCGGTTGTATTTGCTGCCTCCTGAGCCAGTTTAATTATCGTTATCTGTCCCCAACAATGCAAAGTTAGAGCTGCCAATTCTTTAACTGGTATGGGCCTTTACATGTATTAAGTTCTTCCCAAAAACCTAGGATGTCATAATGTATTGGTGTAGTTAGTATATGTTCAGATCCAAGCAGTGTGGCCCTTTGCAACTGATAGATGGAAATTTTGCCAATACACAGATTTTCTATGTGCCAGCCAGGATTTTGGCCACCACAGCTGGTTTATGCCATAATCTTTCCATTTTGATTTTCAGAGCTTGATATTTTGTAATCTCATATATATTTTGTTCTATTCTACTATCCCTGATATTGCCACATCAATTATCTGTACTCTCTTCTTTTCAACCACAGTTATATCTGCTGTGTTATTATTATGTATGGGTAATCTAGTTAGATTCATAGCCTAAGACTAGTGGAAACTTTATAATTGAATAATCATTCAATAATATTTATTACTAATATTTATACACTGCCCATCTAATCTAAGGGACTCTGGGCAGTTTACAAAATTAATTCCTTACTTCATAGTATGTTCCTTCTACTTTTCTTGAGTTGCTTCAAAACACAATGTAGCCCCCAGGATCCCCAATGAGTGAACATGATTTTGTTGCTTTACTGACTCTCAGATTTTAAATTGAGTTTTGACTGATGGCTAAAGCACAAGAAATATTTTTTGAGTACAACAGTCCATAATGAAAGCCAGTGTAGTGCAGTGGTCAAGGCATCAGGCTAGAAACCGGGAGTCAGCGAGTTCTAGTTCTGCTTTAAGCATGAAGCCGCTGGGTGACCTTATGCTTATCACTCTCATAGGGCTAGGAAGGATGCAGTGATAACCTATTTCCCAAACACTTTGCCAAGAAAGTTGCTGGGACTACTACAGGCAGTTTTTGAGAGTCAAAAACTGATTTAAAACCATACACATACACACACACAAACACAAATGGGTGCATGCATATACACACACAGAAAGACACAGGCACATAAAGAAACAGTCCGTGATGTGACTGGCAGCATACTACTAATTTTTTGGGGGGTAGTTTTGTAAGAATGAAGGAATCTTAAATGACATATTTTTAATTTTAATATTTTAGAGACTCTTTAAAAAACCTTCTGAGGGTGTTTCATTTACAGTTAATATAACAGATTCCTTAGAGAATCATTATGAACTTCTTCCAATAGTGAATATATTTATGATATAAATCTATCCCATTCAAAATAAAATTATTCTTTATATCAAAATTGACCTAGAAAGATATTGGAGTAACGTGGATAAATAAGTTTCAGATCTGATTCCAAAGGGAGAGCAGTCATGATCCTGAGAAGACTCAATAGTTGACTCACAGATAACTCTTGGGTTTGTGCTCTGATATGCTATAATAAATATATGCCTATATAGGAAAAACATAAAATATTTTATTTCATAATGATAAACTTTAAGCTGAGATATGCTATGCCATCTGATCCCTAATTTGGAGCCTTTAGACTTACAAGTGATAAATCTAACAGTTTTTATACTCCTTGAGTGAGGAAAGTGTCTATTTTGAAATTCTGAAGGAACAGGAAGTCAGTTCTGATTTTTTGGGTGGAGAGAACTGGAAATCTATTAAACAAATTTTAAATATGTATAAATAATCAAGTCTTCAACACTTAATAAAAAAGCTATTTATGACCCAGATTCAAAGTTCTAATGTCTGCCCCCCCCCCATGATTATATGACCACATTTTAGATGCTCGGCAACTGGCCTGCATTTACCCACCATTTTGCAATGTCCCACAGTCACATCGCCATCATTTGCACTGTTATTGCTGGAAACCAGACTT